TTCTGATAAATTGGTAAATTTAAAAAAAAAAGGTACCAAGAACTACTCGTGTTTTGTATGAAAAGATCGCAAATTTTCACCGAACTTTGTCATATTTTGAGCACGAATTCCTCATAAGTCTGCCAGCGATCTTTTTTAATCAGGTGAGATAACACACAAGTACCTCTAGCTCCGAGATGTTGTAATTTTGGAGCTTTAATTTCTTCGTCGCAATACTTTTACTTTATTCAAATCTTTCTATGATAAAAGATGTATCTAAATCTTGTTAAACATCATTGCCTTAATCTCTATACATATCTGTATTTCTATGGTGCATTTACACTTGCATTCCTCGCCGTTTTTTTTTTTAAATTCTTCACTCGGTTTTTCGCATACAAATAGGGGATACCTCCCAAACTTTTACATTGATTTTATAATTAAATACTTCTGAAAAGAATTTTAAAAAGGCCATAAAAAGCCATCGGACCACAGGTGCTTGAGGACAGACCCCCCACCCCACCCCCACCCCCCACCCCCATATAGACCTCGGGCCTGTTCGACTTTTTTCCTCATACATTATATATGAATGACACATTTGTGATATAATCTATATCATCAATTCGGAAAAATTGGCTTAAACAAACATTTTATAAAAATTACTATCCTACTCTATGTATATAAATATATAGAGAGTGGGGTAGATTTTGTAAAATGTTTGTTTTAGGTTATTTTTCCAGTTGTTGGTATAGATTACATTGTATATCACAAATATGTTATTGAAAGATAATTTATGAGAAAAAAGTCGAAAAGGTCCGGGGGTCTATATTGGGGGGAGGGGGGGGGGCTGTCCTCAAGCACCTGTGCATCGTACGAAACACTTTGAGAGAGAGGTAAATGGAAATGAAAATCTAAAAATTAATTCTATCTCGCCTTATCAACAGGCTACAATTAACTACCCAGATTTTTTTTTGTTCTGTTTTGCGACTTTTCAATTTATAGGGCAACTTGCTCGACCGGGAAAGCAAATTAGATAAATTCTGAAGCTGTTACTTATAGAAGGTCTGTGTCGTTTTTATGCTTTATGTTTCATATCTGAGCAGTTTTTCAATTGTGATATATATATACATGTATTTTTAAAATCTCCTTTTAGAAATAAAGTTTAAACTTTTGATATAACAGCTGTAATTGCGGTTGTTTATATAATGACGGTTTATCAGTGTAACAAACTTTTAATTAAAATACGTCAAAGGAAAGAAAAATAATCATGCAGTTGACACTTGATTAGTTGTTCCATATCTTTTCGTGATACTGTTGTGGTCTCAAAGTGATGATAAATAAACGCTTTCGATGTTCGAACATTAAAAAATCGTTAAAAAGTTTTCTGTCAGTGATAACTTCTGTTTGTTGTATTGAAGTTAAAAAATGTTTTCCTCACTGTGACGTCATAATCAAATGTGCACAAGAAAGTCGACCAAATCATATAAATTGCGTACTCAGTTTTAACGACGTCAGCAAACCCGCGACCTACGTTAAATGCTTAAAAAAATATCGAAAGTGGATGTGAGAAACAAAAATATTCAGTCAAATCAAAATTAAAAAAAAAAAAAAAAGAACACGACCAAACTTACTAACAAACAAATAAAGTAAACATTTTAAATGTGCTGAATTAATGATTATTAACTTTTTTAAATTCCCACTCTTTTTTTTCTTTTTGTCAAATTAAATAGATTGTTAAAGATAAATTTACAAAATGGAGAGTATTAGTTTAATTTTGCTTCTTCTTCTTTCCCCCCCCCCCCAAACAGTACTAAAATATTTATTTTTAAAAACCTAATAACAGCTAAAACGTGTTTTGAGCTGTTGTTAAATAATTTTCTTTTAATAATCCGGGAGCAAACCCATGCGAGTTGAAATGTTTAGAAAAAAAACAGTGTACACTTGCAACGAAATTCCCTCTCTGGTACCTCTCTAATAGTTCGGGTTATCTCTCTTGTTTTTATTTATAGAAAATTATATCTCGTCTACAATCGTCATTCTTGTGTATTTTTCTCGATTTGTGAAGCATTCAGAAGAACCATGCTTTTCTTTTCTGTAACATGATAGCCGAGCTTCAATTTTAGACCAAAAACATCGCATAAAAACAATTTACAACAAAAGTTTATCAACATGCACCGATGATTCAATGCATGTTGTGAATGGTGGAGCGGATCAATATCCTTTGCGATAATATAATAATGTCCGTGTTTAGCACGTACATGTATCCTCAAACTGGTCCACATATATAAAATCGCATTCATTCGTCCGTATATTCAAAAAGCCAGTCAATCACCTTGTCTGAAGCTTCTGACAGAAATGAATTATAGATCAGAGACTATACTGTACCTTAACATAGCTCGATCTAGTAAAGAAACCGATCTCGAATAATTAAATGCTGTCATGTCTTTATTAAAACTAGTGGACATACATGTAGAGATTCAGACAAGAATTAAATATATGAATGAAAAATAATTTTAATTATCAATATACACATTTACGGCAAAAGTTAGAAACAAAATGTAAACACGTAGTAAAAAAAAATCTGCGTTGAGGTTCACCGTCACTCTGCAACGTCATATCTTTATGACGTTATTTCTCTGTTTTAGTAAAAATGCCATAAGCACCCTTTTTCCATGGGCGCAATCATTTATAGTAATTATTCTTATCAGTAGGTGTATAATCATGTCAGATTTTTATCAAATTTTATTTCAATAAATATTATAAGTCGAATTTTAGTAAGGGTTCAAGTCGGGCATTCTTTGCAAATGGGTTAAGATCGGTAAAATCGAATATCTCAACGAATTTTCTCGTATCGGAGATAAGAGTTTTCTTTCTTGACACCATAAAATCTCTAAAATTTCTTTTTCCAAAAATTAATATAGATTCTTATTGGAAATATCTAAAACTACGTTTAGCTAAAATTCCACTTATAAAAAGTAGTTCTAAACCTTTCTTTTTTATTATTTGACATTAACAAGAAATGATGAGTAACGAGGGGTCTTATTTAAACAAAGGAACACTTCTTGGACCTATATGACCGGGATTGGTTTCAGTCTTTACAAAAAGCTTGCCAATTTCGTTAATGTCAGTGACTTTAGGCTACATATTTCTACATCATAATTAATCGTTCTTTTGCTGTTCTAAAAAAGATTTTTTTACGATTGTTTCCAATATCTTCCTACGTAAAACTTTGATCACAATTTTGGCCCCACCCTAAACCCAAGGGTCATGATTTGAACAAATTTGAATCTACACTATGCAATGAAGATTCATCTTGAATTTCATCTCTTTTGCCAAGTGGTTAATGACAAGAATTTTTTTAAAGATTTTTCCACTAAATTCCTATGTAAAACTTTGCCCTCAGTTGTTACCACCCTTCCGCCAATTTAGACCTATACTCAAAACTAACGGCCATTGAGCAATGAGGGTTCTTAATCGTGCCAACGCTTACCGTGACCCAGGACCTCGGGTTTTAAGGTCTCATCCAAAAGACCTGTGATTTTCAGTTCTAATGCTGGGCGTTTGGCGAAGGAGAAGTCACTACCTATGTTTAGAACTTTATGCTTATTTCCCGATCATTACAAGGAGCACACGGCGGGTGTGACCGGTCGGCAGGGGATGCTCACTCCTCCATGGCACCTGATCCCACCTCTGATGTTTGGAGGTCCGTGTTTGCTCTGCTCCTATTTTGTATTGTATAATGGACTTTTGAGCTTGAATACTATTCGTTATCTCCATATATTTCATTAGAACTGAATCGAACCCAGACCCCCCAATCTCTAAGCGAACAATGGCCAACAATGCTCATCAGAGTTACAAATGAAGATGAAAACATTTACTTAGTCATCATATAACCACACACTAACGAAAACTCATCTTTTTCACGAGTACTCTAATTTTTTTCCATATAACATGACTGTTCTTTGTGCTTTATGTTGTGCTCTCAAATTCAGCAACCGTTATCTGGAGGTCGTGAGTTTGAATCTCGGCCGCGACTGACTTAAGTCGATAAAAAAAACGTGTAGCAACTGTTCCTTTGCCATGCGCTCGGCACTTTGAAGTGAAAGTTGCGGGTTCTTCGGATGAGACCTTAAAAACCGAGGCCCCGTGTCACGGAAGGCGTTGGCACGATAAAGATCCCTCACTGCTCAATGGCCGTAAGTGCCGAGTAAAGGTCAAAATTTGAAGCCATTCACCGGTATATGGTTACCTCTCTATGAGTGAAAAATTCCCGAATGGGATTTAAAACAGCATTTAATCAATCAATCAATCAAATTCAACAACCTGGTAATAGTTTATATAAATTATTATGTCAGTAAAAAAAAATGGCGATTTTTTTCGTGCTTCATTTCTTCAAGTACAGTCCTTACCAAATAAAATGTGCACATAGACGCAATTTTTTTTTTTTTTTTTTTTTTTTTTTTTTTAGAACTCAGATATCACAAGAAGATTTTATGCAGGTAAAGGATTAAAATAGCAAATATTTTAATAAAAGACCATTAAAATACTGCATTCGAATTTTCTAAATGAAACATTTATTGAGATATGTTTCCCTATTCTGTTTTGAAAATAAGTTAATAAAGATTATTAATTTGCAAGGGCATTTTGGTTTTGAATTTTGGATGAATCATAAAGTAAAAACCACGTACAAAATATATAATTTATTTTTTTTTTTTTTAGATTTGTAATAATTCATTACGTTAGAATATAAAGAAAATACCCTTACCGCTGCTTAAAGAGGAAGACTCTGCTCGATTTGATTCTGTTGCTTTCACCTCACTCGGGTTAGCCTTGGTGTTATCGGGTAGCGTAACCACCAAAGAAGTCAAGGGTGTCACAAACTGACACTGTAAAATTAAAGTTTTTGTTTATGGTTATTAATTTTATTCATAATCAAATTCTCAAGATTTCATTTGCATCTATTTTTTATTAAGTTATCAAAGCTTTGCTCAATAAATAAATGTAATCTTTACTTATTTATACCTTTAAAGAAAGCTGAAGAATTTTGTCTTCTTTTTTATTTCTGTCGCGGAATCGAGAGCATCTTTATCTCTCAGCATTTGTTTGATAGACAAATACGCCCAGAGTTTTTCCATCATTCCGGGATTTCTTGTAGTGACAGGAGGTGAAGGCGTTGGGAATGGTCTGGGTCGGGGAGGAAATGGAGGGAATGGGGGTCGTGGCCATGGGATAATGATGCCCTGATTGGGAGGTACACGAAGGGAGACTTTGGTTTTACTTCCTTCTCCATCTACGATCATGCCTGATTGTAACTTGGTAAGATCTTTTATTTTTCCTGCAACAACCATTTCAGAACCTTTGAAGTAAGTGTTGAAATTAGTCTCAGTAACTGTGGTGTCATACAATGTTCCGTCAACATAGTTGAATGAGACGTTCTTCAATAAAACGGTTGATATTTTCTCATAAATCCCTGCTATCTGAAGAGCTGCGTCTGCGTCTTCATAGATTTTCCTTGCAAATCCGTTATTCTGTGCTGCAAGCCTTTTGACAATGTCAAAGTCAGCGCCTTTTCCGAAAGCGAGACTGAAAATGGGCAGTTCCACTTCGTTCTGTTTCTTTACATTTTCTAGTATGCGTTCAGTTCTTGTCTCTCCAGACGTGGCTTGTCCATCGGTTAAGAAAACCATGAGAGGTGCTCGGCCCTTGGTTCCGCTTATTTGCATTAATTTTTGAAGCCTTTCTCTTAATGAAAGATCAATATTGGTCGCTGAAGGTTGAAAATATGAACAAAATAATTTTTTTCCCTTTTTGAAAGCAGGTGAATCTTTTTGTAATTTTCTTGCTAGCAAAACCTCCACTAATCTCCGCTATATTTATGTTAGGCATACATATATTTTGCAGGTGTGAAATATTTCTTGAATTAAATGATGAAAAATAAAGATACATGTGTTTTGACATTTTTCATGATAGTTAAGAAAAGAGGAGATAAAAATGTTCTATGAATTATAACTTAATTTTTCTAAATTCGATGGATATAAGCTGAAATGAAATTTTAATCATTGAACTATTACTTTTCGTGATGTACAGTCGCCTTTTGTATACATTTTTGCAGTATGCATATTAAGTACTTTGCTATTACTGTAACTATAAACCGCTTGTTCTAAATCATCTCGAAAAAATATAAGAATAACGATTGTTTTATCTTATTATTCTTATAAGCTAAAAATACGAATAAAACAGACAAAATAATAAGCAACTATTCATATAATAACTGAGAAAGTACCTCCCCTTGCCGGGGTCTCTTTTATATACTCTTTGGCGGCGTTTTCATTTGAAGCTGTTGCCTGTACAAATTCCGGTTTCCAGTACGACAGGGAGAAATCAAACGCAATAATCATAATTTTATCTTCCGGTTTTACATCGTCTATAATTTTATACATGGATTCTTGAAGCTGTCTCATTTTAGTTCCACTCATAGAACCACTCTTATCCAGCACGAACACAATATCCATTGGCTTCGGTTCAATTCCTTCGGGTGCAAGGAAATGCACAAAATATCCATTACCTGAGGATTTTTTTGGTAATATTTATTTATGCGAAGATTTGTACGATATGTATACAAATATTATTGTTTATTTTTTCTTTCAATTCATCAAAAGCAAATGTATGCTTATTTGTTTTGTTGTTGTTTTTAAAATCCCTTTTTATATTACTTGTATATTTTTCTAATGGTTTAAGATGAGAAAAACGCCATCATAAAAGTTGTAGAATTTACCAAAACATCCCCTGCATTGTCACTTCTGTCCACATCATGCATACTGGACAATAAACTGGCCAGAGATACCAGACTCTTGTTCAGCTCTGGACGGCTCGTATGAAATAAACGCTTTTGTTGGAGAAATACGATCAACTACGCCAAGTTGGTTTGTTCCTTAAAACCAGAAGAAAACGTTCATTATCCTTCACAAAATTAAACCTTATACAATATAACTTATGGTTGATATCTCAAATAGGTTCAAATTTTATTTTGCAAATCGCAAGTCTTAACTGCAAGGATCGAATATCGAACTTGAATGTGTTTGCTACAGTGAATGAAATATTTTGCGATACCTTCCGGATCTTCTGTAAGAAGATCATTTTTTATTGGTGGAGTCTTGATAGTTGTGATATTTCTTGATTCTTTGATTAAGACGTTGATTTTTAAATCGTCGACCACTTGTCCAGGATTGATGTAAATTACATGGTTGTATAGGCCTTTAGTTCGTCTAAGAAGTTCCCGGTATGTTAACTCGAACGTCACTTTTTCTTGGGCTGCTACATTGACCTGGATTTGAAACTTGTTTGTTTCTCTAGGTCTGTGAAAAATTTGTATCTGGTAATGAGCTTATTCTTTAGTTTAATTTTTTAGATATTTTTCTCTCTTTAGACAAATAACAATCATAAATTGTTCATTAATGGAATAGAATTTTTTACTTAAGGTTGTGGTTAAATAGCCAAATTACTTATGAAGTGTCTTTGGGTATAGAACTTTGATTAAAAGTTCTGTTCAATTAGTTAATTGATGAAATATGTATTTATCTCACTTGGCGACAATATGGCCAGCACTCTGCCCCTTTGCTTTGGCAGCCTCAAATTCCTGTGTTCATTTTCCTTGACTTTTCCATGGATTTCTTTGCCATTTATTATCCTTCAACACTACATGTTTCCTGTTTGATATCATGTTTGAAAATTAAACGAAAAGAATTGCAGAAGTATCGTTTGATGTGTTACTTACAATTTGAACGCTGTAATGAAGGCTTCGTTTGGAAGTGTAAGATCGAACTCGGCTTCCCTAGCAACTGGTTCCTTATTGACAACTTTACTGGTTACCACCGTTTTTGCAAACCGGAAGTCGATTTCCGACGTGACATGTAGATAATATATCTAAATTAAATTGTATGAATTGATTTGTTGGTGATATAGTATAATTTATCTACCTTGTGACGTTTTATTTTATATATATGTAAATTAACACAAGAGATTGAGAGTAAGGAAAAGAGAGAGAGAGAGAGTTGTAATAATGTTATTTTTATGTTTTAGTAAGCTTTGAAATTAGATTTGTCAAACGTTCTTTTATAAATTCCTTATTATCTTCTTAAATTTTACATTCTTACATCTTTCTCTCCAAAATATTATGTTGAATCCTTGCTCTTTTTTGGAGGGGGAGGGGGTTTACTAGGAACAGAGTTTTTCATGTTGAGAATATTTTACAGGGTATTCATCCTTACTAATAGATATTGAGATCAGTCATTTTTGTTGAAGATTGGCAGAGTGATTTTAGAACAACTAAAATATTTACCCTTTCTTCAAAAATTAATGTCAAAAATTGAATTTTTTTGTTATAATTACATTAAGCAGATTTTGTATTTATGCTCTGTTTTTCCCCCCAGATACAGAATTATCAATCTTCTAAGTTATTATACTTAATCGTTCATTTTTATTGTTTAGTGTTAAATTTTTAGATAATAAATATAAAATTTACTTCATCATATAATTTTTCAATTTTGATTTTAATTTTGAAACCCTTTAAAAGTGTTTAAATGTCTTCCATTGCCAGTTTTACAGCATTTTTAAAGATTAAGATTGTGTTTCTTCGATTGATATTTATGTTGTATCATAAAACGTTTTAATAAAACCTCACCAGAAAACTACTATTTCAGTCAATTATGCATGTAAATAGAGATGGAAATGTTGCATCAATTAAACTTCTGAAGGAAACAAACATACTAACCCATTTTTTTCATTTGTCTGTTTTATTTTTCATACTGTTTTTTTAAAAAATGTTTTGTTTATAAAGCAAAATAATCAGTTGCCGAAGTATTAAATTAATAATCAAATAAAATTTCAACGACAAAGTGCAATTTTTTTTAATTCTTATATGCTGGATCCTTCATCTTAGAATCAGAAAATCTAATAATCTTTTCCCATAGTTTTCAAAATATTAAGGTATGCAATATCATCCCTATAACTTGACATCATTTTTTGGTAGTACAATGAATAGTCATGTACATATGTATTAAAATCCAAAAGGAATAGCATTTCTTAAAACGCGGTACATATGTAAGCTGTTTTTGAAATAATATTGATAGGATATTGCCCCCCCCCTTCTTTGACGAAAATGTTTCCTACCTCTGTTTTTTTTTTTTTTAAATTCTGTGACGAAACAAAACACAAGAGAAATATTCCATACGCTATAAATCCTTGATACATTCCCATTATGCAGATTGACATTAAATGAAATCAAGATTAACCATATTTATATAGCATAATTTTGTACGCATTTAGTTTAAACAATGGCAAAAATAGACCTATGGAAACCCCCTGGTTATCTTCATGACGTATAAATTGTCATGCTTTGTGAAAACACTCATTTATCATTTTGCGTTTGGTTGGGTTGTTGACAAGTTTGATTTAAACAGGTGTGTTTGCATGTAGGTATAGAATGTTTATGCCTCGTGTTTAAACAATGTATCTCCTAACTAGGGATTAAATTCAAAGGAAAACACATGTTTTGCTCTAAAAAAATAAAATTAAAAAAAAACATGACCTTGGGATTTCTTAGTCTGAATAAACATTTTGGATTTCCGAAACGTCGGAAGGGGGTGTTAAGGACCAATAGATATGCTGTGCTCTTTCATACATGTGATATGTACCGGCGTACGTATGGAAAAGGTACAGTTTTTCGAGCCCATTCATCGTGTACCGGCGGGACACCAAAATTCACGGAATATGAAAATTTGTACAGTATTTTGAATTTCTCGCTAAATGCCGCCATTTTCCTCTCATTCTCGCTCGCGAGACACTGGAAAACGTCACCTGTGTTTGACACTTGACCTTCCGATAATTGTAGTGTACAAACCATCGCGTGGAAGGTGTGAACTGCCAATTGGGATAATTATCTTGCTATAAATCCGTATCAAGATACCCCTTTAGGTAGCTTTATTTTTAAAGAGGTACTTAATTATAACTGTTAATGTTTCGTAACTTGATTGAAAAAAATTAAGCCAACTTCTAAAGTTGATATACATGACTTAATATACATGAATCTGACCGAAATCTTCGTAGGTATAAAATATACGATGTTTATCATCTTGATTAAATGAAATAAAGGATATAGTTTTAAGTTTTTATGTGCTGAAATTTATGTATGAATGTATTTGCTGCTGTTATTTAGCATTGCTGATGTATATATCAGTAATATGTACAAGATGATGACATTGACTCTCACGTTAATACTATATAAAGCTGGCAAACAAACTAACATCTAAGCTAGCTTAATTTATAGTTGATTCATAAGAACATTGTGATTATAAAACACAATATATGAAATTTTAAAGCATTCAAATCTCAATTATAACTTTTAAAATAAGACATTTGCAACAATATATATTTGTTGGTTTAGAAATAAGGTGCCTTATGAGAAGAATTTAAGCGATATTTTATAACGTTTTCTGTACCGTTTTTTGATAGGCAGTGTACAGTTTTTTCACCCAAATTCCAGTTTTTTTACGGCTCCTGTACAGTTTTGTGGTCTTTGACTTATCACATGTATGCTCTTTCGACTTAAAATATGGGGGGGGGGGGTGTCTATCAAATTAAAAGTAATAATTCTAATACATGCAGCACAGGTTTGGTGGGGTTAATTGAATAATGATGAATCCCTGCGTGGCATTATCTTTGATTAATAATGTAGTATATCGGTAAAATGTCTGACAGCGAAACATATGACACAATGATAATATTTCAAAATACCAAGTTTTGATAACATATAATTTGTTTTATTAATCGTGATGAGAAAACCAAGCTTAAAACGTTTTCCTTTGGGTTATACTGTGGCAGCTGATGGAAATTGACGAACGTCATCAGTGAATTTCTATATAACAAGAACGTACATACGAGGTATACCAATGTACCAAGGTACATTTAACTACAACAGTTATTTCATTTAACTAAATACTTACAAGTGAACTGTTTAACGGATTGTAACGTGCAAGTTAGGTTATTTGATCGGGATTTTTTCTTCTTCTTAAAATCCTGTATTCATGTCCTGTAAATGAATTTTTGTGGTATAATGCAACCGTAGATATTAAAAACGCAGATAGTAATTTGCTGCCTATTAAAGAGGGGAAGTCAAATCTCAAAAATTTCCAACCACAGAACCAATTATATGGTATACCCTTGTTTTTAAATTTCATTAATATTATACTTTTTATCAAAAATTAAATAGATATTTCATATGAAGGTGCCATATTATTTTTCTCATATTTAAACAATGGGATTTCAAGGATACGAAAGAAAATCCTATTTTTGTGTTAAAACACGGATTTTTTTACATTCTGAATAGAATCTATGTGTTTTAAATCCTCTATTAAGGAGGCTGGGGGGTCAACAAATTAACCATCAGATATAACTTAATTTTTTAGGGTATGATATCTTAAGCTGTGAACTTTCATTTGGCAAAGAAAAATTTCATAAATTTTAGTTTTAAAATTTGATCATTTTTGTATATCTTTATATGGAGCTCTTCGTCTAAAGGAGATCAATATAGTCTGAAAATGGCCACAACCCCCCATCCTTCTTAACACATTCGAAGAATCACAATAATCTGATGATGTTCTGATCACAAGGAATTCGATTATTTATTTATTATTATTATTATTATTATGACATAAATAATGATACGAAAAAATTTTGACACGATATTGTTAATCTTACATTACTCCTAGTTCCTATTACATTTTTGCACTATGCTCTTCTGAAATCTGAAAGGGTGAGGGACACACTGTTTCTTTTTTAAAGACATTTATCCATAATTGATAATGTTCGAATTCCCCAGACTCTCAGTACAGCATAATTCGATGCATATTCGAATAGTATGATTTTCCTCCACTCGTGTAACTTAATGTCCTTAAACCACCTGAGCCCTCCATCTTATACATATTAATACATAACACAGAAAGAAAAGGTTATGTTGCACTTTGCCACCACTGTGACTTTATTAATTATCCCAAATTTAGATTACATATAATTACGTAAATCACATTAAATGGTTATGTAATAATAACCTTATTAAAAATTGATATACAATTATAAATATTTGATTATCTACCCAATTAATATTTCAAATCAATATTAATCAATAATTCCCATTAATTATCTAATTAATGATGTGATTACTTAATTTCCAAAACATCTATTCCTTGTGGTCTGAAACCGCCATGTATTTGATTAAATCCAATTAATCAAGTTCAGACCCCAAGGAGAGAAGAAAAACAGCACCATAAAAAAAGAAATGAAAGTGGCAAAGTGCAGATACACCCAATAAGACCAACCTTTGCAGAGAAAGACATATGCTCTGCAAACCTTAGCCTTATCTCAACAAATGCAACTACTATTCATGGTAGGTGAGGATACACATATGCCCCACCCAAAACATACATGCTATGTATACTTCACAAGTTTAAAATGAAATGTCATCTTAACTTTATAGGTAGAACATGTATGGTAGGAATAAACATATGTCCCACCTTGATGCAATGTTATCAGGAAATATACATATGTTCCTGATGAATTCGATTTTGTATTAATCACACAAATGAAATCAAAATATAGTAACCCTAACTATAGGTAAAATAAGTAGGAATAAACATATGTCCCACCTAGTTTCAACGTTATCAGGAAATATACATATGTTCCTGAGCTCGCACTTTTAGAGTCCACATACCAATCACCAATGTCACGGGCACTATTAAGTTCTCCATTCGCTTGCTCACTCGATAGAGCCTGTCCACCTAAACATTAACAAATAGCCTATGGACATTGTTCTTAGGAAGGGTTAATTGGCCTAATATAACTTTTGAATGCATCCGATTTCCATCGACCTAAGAGTCTTATTTTGCTGTCGCTCATGCCAATATCCGCGCAATGAGATGCCATGCCTATCCGGAAAGAATGACTTGTTATTCTACTCATGTCCATGTTTGCAAATGAGAGACAGTTTTTAAGTATTGCGGAAAATTTACACCTAGTAACTGGAATATTTGGCACATAACAAAAGAGTGGCCCATTTTGTATCCCTCTTAAACTTAAGTAACTTTTGAGGCATTGAACTGGACAATGGTTTTTGCTACTTGCTGAATGTATTGTAAGAAAAAATGGTTTACCCATGTGATGTTTATATGTAATAAATTTGATAATAATTTTGTCTTGTTCCATACAAATCTGATTGATGTGAAGTAAATTCTTATTGATTACTTTCTGGTAAGATGTTATTTCTCCAACCCTTAAAAACCCGTAGAATGCCAACAAAAACATTGCTTTGAACATGGCCGATTCAAATGCATTAGAAACTGTAAATGGTAAATCGTCGCATATTTGATGTAAAATATTTTTGGTAATAGGTATCCTAACATCTTGTGAAGGTTTCAGTTTGCGGGTTGATAACAGTAATTTTTGTATTAAAAAGGATGAGCATGGATCCCCAAAATTGTTAAGCTTATGAATGTAACTAATAGCTGAGAGGTAAGATGTAATGGTCGATGCAGCATAGTCCCTCGAAAAGAGGTATGCAACATAATATACTAATATATGTTGTTTAACTGGAAGTTCAACCAAAAACCCATATTTCTTTGCAAAGTTTTGAAAAACTGTCCATGCATGGGAGTACGAAGCTGTTGAGGAACTTGTGAGACTGGTATCCAGGAGTCTCTGGATGTCACTTGTTAATTCGGAAATTTTGGAAGTGGAGGCACGTTGACTGGGTTTCTGTCTGTCCATGGCGCCAGTTGTAAGAACTGATTTACCTTAGAACGAGGAAGACAATCACATAGTAAATTTTCTTTTGAAGTCAAATGCTTTGCTCTGAAATAAATGTTATATTGTAAGCATGTCAATACTAGTTTTCGCAAAAGAAACATGATATGTTTATCTTTAGACGTTTGCTTATTAATGACATGAACCAATGCTTGATTGTCAGTGTTAAACAAAATGCATTTATTTGTCATAAATTTAGACCAGACTTGTACTGCCAGGACAATGGGATACAATTCTAAGACTGCTATGTTTTGGTACTGCCAACTAGTATTCCATTCTCCTTTAAACCACTGACTACCAAAAACTGCAGCATATCCAATGACACCTGAGGCATCAGTATATAACTTTAATTCCCTTGAACTTATCCATTTATCAGGGAGAAACATTGAAGAACCATTGAAATGGCAAAGAAAATCCAACCAAACATTCAAATCCTCCTTAACTTCTTTTGTCATCCTAATTCTGTAAAAGTGCTTTTTGATTCCAATGGTCAAATCGATTAGTCTTCTTAAAAAGGCTCTACCTGGCAATACTACATTACAAGCAAAATTCAGTAAACCTATAATTGACTGCAGTTCTTTTAAAGTTAACTTAGTTTGTTCCAAGGCAAATTGAATTTTCTTGACACACTTTAAAATTTTGTCTTTTGGAAGTCTACATTCCATTTTAATTGAATCCAATTCATAACCCAGACAGGTTATCACCTGTTTGGGACCACACGTTTTTTCAAGTGAAATAGGCACCCCAATCTCTGTACACATAGCCAAAAAAGTTTTGAGCTTGTAAACACATTGTGTCGGTGATTTGTCTACAATAATAAAGTCATCCAACACATGTGAAATGCAAGATATACCCAATTTATTTTGTGCAATCCATTGCAAAGCTGTTGAGAATCGTTCGAATATTTTACAAGATGAACTTAGACCAAACTGCAGACAGGTATCAAAATAGTATTTGCTTTCCCATTTAAACCCGACAAACTTAAACTGTGTGTGATGTAGATTAATTATTCTAAATGCCGACTTAATGTCTGTTTTACAACAGAATGCACCTTCCCCACATTGTTTTATAAAATGAATCGCATCTAAAATTGATGAGTATTGAACAAATGACTCATCTGGTGGTATGCAATCATTGACAGATTGGTTTTCTGGGTATGATAAATGATGAATCATTCTATATTCACCCGGCTCTTTCTTTTCAACTAAACCTAATGGTGAACATTGTAAATTAGGAATTGGCTTACTTTCAAAAGGGCCCTGGATTCTACCAGCCAAAATTTCTTTTTGTATTTTTTGATCAAAAATTTCAGGTTTTGCAATAGCAGAATTCAAATTCTTAGACTCTATTCCCGGACATTCTCCTTCGAATCCTAAACAGAACCCATTTGAAAAACCATCAATCAAATATTTAGTTTCATCTTTATCATAACCAGATAACCAGTGAGCAAGTCTATTTACTTTGATTGGAGTTGGGCCCTTGCTTGGCAGTAGAGTTTTTTTTTTGTTTGGGTAGACTGTTTACTTGTGTTGCCTGTTTGGTTTTGATATTTTTGCATGACACGAAAGGGGTGCTTAGTTGGTTTTGTACAGTGAATAAATGGGTGAACCCCTGCACAGTTATAGCATCTATGCTGAAAACGACAGGACATTCCTGCCTGACAGTGTTTACCTGATGATATTGGAAGCAGGCACCCTTGGGAATTGATCTATACTGTAGGTCTTTACTACCTTTGCTTGGTTTCATTGTCTGGGTTGTTGTCAGTCTGGCATTGACATACAACTCCATGTGGACATCCCCCCAGGCAACTTGTCCCTGAGCCACGAGCATTCTTAAGTCTATATCATACCCTTTCCAATTGCCCTTTGCGTCTGCTATCTCCCTGACTGCTTCTAAATGCTTTGCTAGTTTTGCCTGTTGATCAGTGTATTTCATGCAATAAATTGCAGAAAATCTGTTCCATGCAGTAAGCCAGTCATGCATGGAGGAGACAGATGCGTCATTTGATGAATCATTCTCCACCTGGTGGATTGTCAACTTACCAGGACTGTCGCCATCCTCAACTTGTAAAGAAAACTTACCTTTCTTCTGCTTATCTTTTGAAAGAAGTTTTATGAAGTCAACATACTGGTTTGACCATATTTTGGACTTGAGTTGGTCCGACACCCTAGCATCTAGACTGCTGTACTAACAAAACCACTGGGACTCTTACCTGCTATTTTTTCAGTATGGTTAATTACCAAGGCTTCAACAGACTGTTGAATAGCTTGGTCATTGGATGTACTTGGGGCAGTCGATTCTGACCCACAAATAACAGAATTAGTTAAGCTTGGATCATTATTGACAGAAACCCCCGAAGTATTATTACTAATACTCCCCTGACTAGTGGCTGTGGTGCTGCTGGTCACATTAGTTATTAGCGTTGTCAACTCCTCTCTGATTGTAGCAGTGACCCGCTCGGTTACTTGTCTGGTAATGGTTTCCAGGACATCAGGGGATAGGGGCGTAACTGTCTCGACCGCTTCCATATTTGTTGATACCCGTCGTCTCTTGTTTTGTTGAGAGGCAGGAGTTGGCACTCTCCGAGATTTGCTAGATATTCTCTTTGGTGGCATGATTATAGAGGGCGGAGCCCTCTCACGGGCCCGAAGGGCCCGTGAGAGCGAAGCTCTCCCTATAGGTAACACGTATGTATGTAAAATATATTGAATTCTATTGTAAACTATATTTTTATTACAATACCTATGGAACTGAGAACCTTGTCGCCAATATGGCGTCCATAGTCTTTTCCATCTTGAATCTCGCGACAAATTCCCGCATAAACGAGATGCTGGAGAATCGTAATTTTAATTCCAATCCTGCGTTAATGAAGTTTTATAAATTCTAATGATCAAAAACACCCTTATAGTACACATCCTTGTTACTTTCGTTTTCATCTAGGCCTAGCCTAACTTGCACTCGATCGTCATGGACCTGACATGTGACGTCATTCATTGACTGCATGAATCAGCGGAAACTGTTGAATTTTTAACAACCTGTAATAATTGATATTTCATATGCGTACCCTCTTTTTAAAAACAAATTTATTCACCTTTTAATAAACCTTAATATGTTTTTGGTGAAACAAAAAACAGTTTAACGAATTCCAGTGACGTCACTGTCTAGACTGCGTACTACATACTATGGAAGGGCGGATCTTTCTGTGGCCCCTTCCACCAGACTTTAGGGAAAAGAAACAACTCAAATTTACTTGTTAATAAAATTTATTAACTATGAATGTCTTCAGGATTATTTTCAATACACAAACTAGAAATAAAAGATTTTTTGTGACTTGGTGTAATTTTCCTCTTGAATAATACATTTTAAAAATGCTTCAGTGGTAAAATATTGCATGAAAAGCTTTACTGAATTCTGGTATGAACTCAAGAAGGGGGGAAGGGGTATGCATTTTATTTTATTTTTTCATTTATTAATTAATTAATTCATTCATTCTTGTCTTTGATTACCTGCTTGTTCCTATATACATTTGCAGGTGGAGGATTGCGTCTCATATTTGTTGTTGTGATTTTTTTTTCTCTCTCAAAAGTTTTATCATTTTTTAAGTGTCAAATTTAGATGCGTAAAGTTCCCCATCAAAAGAAGAATCTTTGGACATGTCTGAAGCTTAAACTACCACATCAAACACATGTTCATTTATGGATACGCTTCAAATGATAAAAGAAAATGATTTCTAATTTTCATTTTAAAAAAGTACTTTTAAAAATATAGAACAACCTAAAATTTATTCAGCCAGTTGGAACCTATGGTGGATTATGATAGTGTATAAAGTCCAAAATCATATGAGAAAAACTAAGTTAAACAATACATTGAGGGACTGCAAAACACATGAAATGTATATTAATAAAGTTTAATGTTCTCTTGACTTAAAAAACCCCGCAAATACAGAATCTTCAATTGACATTACCCATGGTAATCCATGTAAAGAGGTCAATGTTGTTGCATAGTACTAAAATACCTTTTTCTTTAATCTTCCATATATGATCCTTTTTATTAATTATGTGGTGAATAGGGATGTCACAAAACATCGATACTTCCCAGAAATGTACCCTATTATTCACAAGTTTTGGTTTTAAAATTCTAATAGTTTTCACATAAACAATTTAATATCTGTAAAAAAAATCCTTTTATTGAGTTAAATTTGTTTTTTCCAGAAAAGATTTTTATCTTGCTTTTATGTTAGTTTTAGAAAGCACTAAACACTATTCGAATCGGATTAGTTTTTTTAAAATGCAGAAACGTTAAATTTACTCTACATTTTTTCCAATAAAATTAAGAAAATAATTCTCAGAAATTTTGCGATGCTGATACTTTTAGCCCTCACGATACACAGCCCTAGTGTTGGTCAGATGATCAGTTTCCAAGTGTCCTGATAACCCAGGAGTTAAATCATCTTTCTGTACTTTGGGTCCCAAGTTCGACTTCCGATGTATTCCCTGACAATTGTCCTTGTTTGTATTTGATGTCATGACCATGCATTGGAAGTAAAAGATGAGAATTAAATGCCTTGATTTTTCTGGATTGGGATTTTTAAATTAAGTCGTGTAAGATAAAGAAATGTTGCTCAGGCATATTCGTTTATTAATTGTTGGATAGATACATAGGTGAAAGAGTTAATGATTAAGAGTTTGTGGGCTTTGGTAGGTTGAATCCTTGACTGGTCCAGTGCACGCTCTTTCCCCGTTATGATACTTGATTTTAAGTGCTCTGGCTAGGCAATTCATGATGAAATATCTTAGAAAAAGTATTCCAGATTTATAAAACTAAATACCCTTAAATTTCTTTATTTGAAATGAAAAATAATTGAGGTAAGTGAACTTAAAAGCTTCTTTTTTTTTTTTTAAAGACTGAGGTCTTTGTTATGATTTTCTGACACTAACTACACACAATTTGATTTTAACACTGACTTATTATTAAACAATAAAATGTAGAAATGTTCACTTGATGGCTCCGCCCTCACCAACGGTCACACCGTCTAACATATTATTTGTTGAATAGGTAACTGAAAGTTCAATAAACTGCATTTGGTTAGTGTACATATTCATAGAAATTGTTCTCTTCTATTGATCACTATAAATAGAATGCGCATAGTATATCAACATCCGGTCGCTATAAACAGAAAAATGGAATATTATCAACCGTTGAAATTCCGGAATACTGATCTTTAACTCACTACTGTACACTGAATTGATTACGAGCCTCCGATGGCATAACAGAGAGATTCACAGGAACAAGCCAGTAATTTATTTGATTACTGATTAGGTGCAGTAAAATGATCCTCAGCGAACCATAAGCGAGGATTTTTTTTTTTTTAATTTTATCCTTTTCTTTTTTTTTTTTTAATTCAATTTATTTACTTATTATATTCTGAATATTCGGTAAAATGCGTTAACGAAAATAGAGTAGGATAAGCCTCGGGGAGGCATACAAAATAAATGACATCTCAGGAAAAAACAAGTAAACTGTGTTAATTCCAGTGCAATGAGATGAGCCTCAGGGAGGCATACAAAAATAAAACCATCTCAGGAAACACACAAGTAAATTGTGTTAATTCCAGTGCAATGAGATGAGCCTCGGGGACGCATCCAACAATAACACCATCTCAGGAAACACACAAGTAAATTGTGTTAATTCCAGTGCAATGAGATGAGCCTCGGGGAGGCATACAAAAATAAAACCATCTCAGGAAACACTCAAGTAAATTGTGTTAATTCCAGTGCAATGAGATGAGCCTCAGGGAGGCATACAAAAATAAAACCATCTCAGGAAACACACAAGTAAATTGTGTTAATTCCATTGCAATGAGATGAGCCTCAGGGAGGCATACATAAATAAAACCATCTCAGGAAACACACAAGTAAATTGTGTTAATTCCAGTGCAATGAGATGAGCCTCAGGGAGGCATACATAAATAAAACCATGTCAGGAAACACACAAGTAAATTGTGTTAATTCCGGTGCAATGAGGTGAGCCTGCAGGAGGCGTGAAAGATAACTAAATAAATAAATAATTAAAATTCTCTCAGGCAAATACAAGTAAATTATTGTGATTCTAGTTAAATAGCATTTGCCTAAATGATGAAAGAATTAAAAACACACAAATTGTATTAATTCAACTCTGATGATTCAGTGCAATGACATGAGTGATAGGGAGGCTAAATAAATAATTAAATTCTCATGAACCATTTAATAAATTGTGTCACTCCCGTCAATTAAGCCCTAAAGCCGAAATAAAAGAAATAGCCGTGTGTTTAGGGACTGTTTTTATTATCATTATTTTTTAATCCATATCATTTCATATTAATTTATACATATAAGGTTTTTAGATCTATAATATGTATATATATATATATATATATATATATATATATATATATATATATATATATATATATATATATATATATATATATATATATATATATATATATATATATATATATATATATATATATATATATATATATATATATTACGAATTAATTTCTAATTTTCTTTTCCTTATTACACTTTTTTTTTTTTTTTTTTTTTTTTTTAAGATTTTAACTGTTTGTTAACCGAATGAAATCTTAAAGCGACAGTACGGCTGCAAAATGTGTGCTTTTTCATCCAAATTTACCCAATATGTCATTAAGAAATAAGGTATAAAGTTGATGTAAGCAGTTTGAGAAACAGAAATATTCTCTACTCAAACAAAATTAACATAATTAGAATCTGCCGGAAAATCAAGGGTCGTACGAACTGGAGCAATTTTAGATCTGTTTATTTGTACCACGTGAATTCTAAAACGGCACGTGCCTGCACTGTAGAGTTTACAGTTATAATGAATATTAGGTGAAAGCAATTTTCAAAAACACAAATTATCATAACTTTCTGATAAAATAATCTAAAATAATAATCGTAAAGATTTTAGTCTGCATTCAGGCGAATTTAACAGAATTAAAAGTACAAATGTTTACGTTTTGTGTACTGGGGTCCGAGGAAGGAAAAACCAACTAATCATACGTTATCGCGGCAAATGTCAAACTAAATATTTTTCTGCACAGTTAAAAAAAATTAGCATTTCAAATGGCAACAATGTTTATAAGTCAAAGATGTATTTTTTATGTTGAGTTTACACTATTTTTTTTCTTTGAAAGCGACGGAAAAATGAGAAATGATAACAAGTATCAACAAACCTGTCGAATAGAACCTTCGAGAGCCCTGCGTGAGTGTCGCCGAGTTCCCGTTTCTTCCTTTTCCAGCGATTTTGTTAATCCCCAAACTGAATTTTAGTCAGGAAAGTTGCTTTTTCAAGTTCTATTTTCAGTTTCTTTTTGGTCGACTTTGTCAATGTAGTAGGCCTACCGGGATTCCCTCTCTAACCATGCTGTTTTGTTTATGAAAACTACGCATGCGTGCATAGCATGGAATGTGGAACCCCGAACACGTTGCGATGTATATATTTACGTCCCATAAATAACTATTAATTTTAATGAAATAATCCAAATTATTTAATTGTAAAAGTTGTAATTTTCTGAAAGTTTATACATTTATGAGTAGTAAAAAAATTCCAAATC